TTCTTCTTAAAAAATGTCAATACCCTTACGTACGCCACTGTAAAAGCTAAAAATTATTTTTGCATTGAAAAATATGCAACTTTATTAACTTTCACTACGTACAAAATATCACTGAAATATCTGAAGCGGTTCTAAAAGCATTAATTAATTTCCATTTTTTTCCTAAAACTTCAACACCCCGAGTTTTTGTTAGGAAACATTTTTGGACCATAGTTTATAAAGCAAACTAACATTAATTTTCACACCCTTAGATATTCGAATATCATTAAGGAACACCCTGTATATTCTAGAATAAGGGATGTCATTGCATCTATACTAAGTGACATATAAATCCGAACACCCACTTTAAATGGTTTTATTTTAATAAACTTTTGTATAAGTACTTAATGAAGCATAAAAATAAAAATTTCAAAATGATTGCACTGCTTTAAAGCCCTTTGACCTTTAATAATGTGTGGATGCACCCTGATGTGCTACGCATTCTCCAACGCGCCTAGGCATGCTTCTGATCAGGTGGTCAATGTCCTCCTGTGGTATCTCATTCCAGGCAACCACCAACTCCTCTCGAACTGCTTCTAGAGTCTGAGGAGGACGTTGCAAATTGAGCAATCTCCTACCCATCATATCCCACACGTGCTCAATTGGGGATAAGTCGGGAGATCTTGGTGGCCATGGTAACAATGTGACATCATTATGTTGAAAGAAGTCTATTGTGACTCTTGCACCATGTGGTCGGGCATTATCTTGTTGGAAAGTTGGATCTGCCAGGGCGTCAAGATAGGGTAAAAGATGGGGTTCTAGAACTTCGTGGATATAACGCTGCGCGCTCATGTTACCTCTGATGAAGATTAAAGGTGACCTGGAACCATAAGCTATAGCACCCCCAACACAGTGTGATGAACATGTTTTTCAACAAAAAACTGTGGATTCCTCCTTTCACCACGTCGCCTTCTAACCCTGGCACGACCATCGTGCATGCCTAAATAAAATCGAGACTCGTCACTAAAGACAATACTGTTCCATTCCTGATCCCAGAGTGACCGTTGTCTGCACCACTCAAGGCGATTACGTCGGTGTTCTCGAGTTAAAGGGAGGACCCAGTGTGGCCGGTATGAAAACAAGCCTTCTCATTCGTCGGTAAACACTTCGCATGCCAATAGGTCTTCCGTGTTCTGCAAACCATTCATTTGCAATGGACCTGGTAGTGGAGAAACGGTCCCTTAAGGCCAATAATCTTAGGCGGCGATCTTCACGGTCTGTTGTTCTACGGCGGCGTCCAGTGCCCCTTGCTCTTTGCGTACGGCCTTCTCGAGGCCATGCCTGACAACACCTAACCACAGTGTCTACACTTCTTTGCACTCTAACTATCAAACTCACTAAGTTGACGAAATCGTACAGGTCTCCGTACTCTAGGCATCGTAACCGATCGTAAAGGATGTCAAGAACCAAAATCCGCCAACGTTGATTCTTTACTGCGGCTGAAATATTCATTTTTAGAGCGTTAGTGAATTAAAAAAAAGCAGTATAAAAACCGGAATGTCCAACTGATAAGGCTGAAAATTTTTTCACTTGTTATTTACAGTAAGATAAATACATTCACCAACTTTTATTAAAATAAAACCATTTAAACTGGGTGTTCGGATTTATATGTCACTTAGTATATGAGTGATCTCATTCTTCGAGACATATCGTGTGGGAGTTAAGTATTAATTACATGAATCTTCTCTCTCTTTGTCTATCTCTGTTTCTCTCAATGCACACTTTCGTGAGAGCAGACACAATGAGTACCGACTATGTGACTACCGAGTTAACACGTTCATTTTCATGCTAATTTTAAAGGTGTTTGTCTTCACACTTAGCGAAGGCAGAGATTTGTTTGAAGTGTCAGTTCCCACAATAATTTATGTGTGAGATTTGCCCGAAATGAGCTGGTGTCACATTACGGACGTCGACAAATACGCGTGTAAATTTCGAATTTGTTTGCTCTGATACGAGCGCCGAAAGTCGTACGGGTCAAAGTTCTGCAAGGTTGTTAACACTAGTCGGAAATCTAACCACCTTATACAGAGTGTACGTGGCTAAGGGATTCCGCACGAAACGTATGGAAAATGGGCCCTAATAGATTTGTCTAAAAATGGCGAGCGTGCATATAAAGGCAATTTTTCAATTCCTCGATAAAAGAATTCAAGTGCAGCATTTTTCGCTTTCGCTTGCAAAACCAACATGACCATGAATTGACCTTGTCAACGTTATAATCAGAGACAACTGAACAACCACGTCTTTGCCTTGCGCTCTTGAGTGGGTTTTTTTTTCAGTGTGAATGTATAAACATAAGCCTGTCCTCAAATTGATCTTGTAAGGCCAAGGTCAACAGATACTTCCCAACAATGTCCTGAAAGGTTTCTAATTGAAATACTTCCTTCGTTATAGCGCTTCTGTGAGTATTTGGTCTCAGTGTTTGCCGGCAATACGGGGACTGACTAGGCATTTCATGGAATGACGGATTTCAGCGTTTGACGCCGACAAATATACCGCTATACATAATAAATATTAGCAAGGATATGAGATCTGTATATTCTTGGAGTATATCTTATGAACTAGTAAAAGAGTGAGTCGTAGCGGACCTTCCAGTTCTTGAAATCCTTGCAACTATAATTTGCAAAGAAAAAAGTCGTAACAACTGTCTATTCATTATGTTAATACGCAGTCTTGATACTGATCATAGAACAATATAATAATGGTCCTGGTGTTTCTCAATTATACGGGTGTCCGCAAAGTTAGGGTTTTCCTTTACACGGCGTGTAGATCTTAAAAACATAAGCAATTTTTCTTAGTACCATATACACCAATGTCTTAAGGGAACCGAGATAAAGGGCTCCGCAACATCAAAAATATCCGAATACCGTCCTGTAGCCGCGACCCGCGACATCACCCAGCGGTACAAGGTCACTGGCTCAACCCGACGACAGAACTGGGTCGGGGTCAGTGTGTCAGGTCAGTATGCAATCTTCAACCGACGGTTACGGTCACGCGTGTAGAGGTAATCGCGTAGACGAGAATCCCTCAACAAGCACTAGAGACGTGGCTAGAGAAGTGCAAGTATCAAAAACTAAAGTGTGGCAAACGCTGCGTGAAGAGGGGCTGTTTCCGTTTCACGTCCAACGTGTACAAGCCCTTCAACCTGACGATTTTCCAGCAAGAGTGCGGTTTTGTGAGTGGTTGTTGTATCAACATGACAATAATCCGGACTTTTTGAAGTGCATATTGGTGACAGACGAATCTACGTTCACGCGCAATGGGGTGAATAACTTTCGCAACACTCATGTTTGGTCAGTAGAAAATCCGCACGCTGTCCGTCGGGCACATTTTCAACAAACATTTTCGGTGAATGTTTGGGCTGGCATGGTGCGTCTGCTCGGTAGCGCATCAGCTGATTTCATTTTCTGTTGGAGCGGTATGATTTCGGGCAGAGACGTACTTAGCCCTTCTCGTCAACTGGAGAGTAAGTACTTTTTCCTTTATTATTTTTTACTTGGTCGCCCTCGTTTCACTACACATTACCTTTGTTATTTCAAGGGTAGTTGTTTCTGAAAAGGAAAACCCCAACTTTGCGGACACCCTGTATAGGGTGAGCGATCAGTTGGTTTTTTTTGCGTTGGTATTATTTTGACAGTTGGTAACACTTCCATGCTCAACATTTTGATAGATATATTGTGTTAAACTTCCGCTGTGAGTAATGGATCGTTTTAATCTTGAACAAAGATGGGAAATATTGAAAAACTATTGTCAAAGTGAGTGCTGTGTTGCAGAAACTTTGGGAAAATTGAGAAGACTATTTGGTCGGAATGAAGCTCCGTCCGCGACTGGTATACGTGAAGAAAGTTCATCAAACTGGCCTGCTAGTGGATAGCAGAAGGCAAGCGCATGTTCGATCCATACGTACAGTCGAAAACATTGCTGCTGTTGCCCAGAGTGTGCGTCAAAACGCAAGAATGTCAACCTGTCACAGATCACAACACGTGGCCTTCAGTCGCACTTCTGTGCGGAGAATATTGCACAACGACCTGGGGTTATCTCCTTACAAGGTGCAACTTGTGCAAGAGCTGAAACAAAATGACCATCCGATATGATATCGTTTCTCTGTGTGGGCTCTAAATCAATTGAAAACGGACGTCAATTTTGGTCCCCAAATCGCCTTTTCGGACGAAGCCCATCTCCATCTGGGAGGTAACGTTGACAAGCAGAACTGTAGTATTTGAGGTTCTGAAAATCCATACAAAAACCAATGCATCCAAAAAGAGTAACTGCTTGGTGTGGCTTTTGGAGTGGTGGGATTATTGGTCCTACTTTTTTTCAAGATGAAGATGGTAACACTGTGACGCTATAGACATGTTGAGTTTTTTGTGACCACTATTAGACAACATGCACTTGCACAATCTCTGGTTTCAGCAGGATGACGCACCATGCCACACCACCCGTGAAATAATGGATCTTTTACACACTGAGTTCGGTCATCCCGTTATCAGCCGTTTTGGAGACGTTCATTCGCCATCTCGCAGCTGTGATTTGACACCCATGGATTACTTCCTATGGGGTACTGTTAATGCCCGTTGTTACACTAACGATCCCATTGATGTTCTTAAGGAAAATATCCGTCGAGCTATTGATGAATCAGACCCACAACCTATCCAAAATGTGCTTCAAAATTGGGTTAAGAGGATGGACAACTGCCCAAGGCCAGCCGCGGCAGCCACTTCACTGAAATTGTTTTTCATAAATAATCGGAAGGTGTATTCTTTTGAATAAAGTATCGGGTGTTACATGCTATTGAAGAGTGTAGTTTTATCTCATTAACGCTCGCTCTACTCAAGCGAGTACACTCGTGTTTGTTCCTATCAGAGCCATCTCTGAGTCAACCACAGAAGTACTGCCTCTTATAAACATTTGTAGATGGGACATGCGACAGGGCGCAAGAGCCATTTTTCATCAATTCTGTGAGTGTGTCGTTGTTTACAGTAATAGAAGTTACTACTTATTTGATCTAAGGTAAGTTCGGGGTTTACATATTTTTTCTTATTGAGATGACCATCTAATAAACATAATCTTTTTATATTATGTATATGTAAAGGTTGTTTGTTTGATTTGCCGGGAATAAATTATTTTAACTGATTTGATGTAATTAGAATGTATGTTCAAGTTTGACTGTACTCAAATGAGTACACACGAGTAACGAGGAGGAATTGGACGAAAAGCAACTGATGGCAAATGGAATGCCACAAGATGTTTCTGGTCGTTTATAGCTGTTTCGCCAAAGTTCAGCTAATGACGAGTTCTGAAGCAGCGACGAAGAGCATTTGAGTGAAGTGCGAAAACGTATACAAATACCTAAATACATCTAAACACGATGACTTGGACTGGGAGAAATGCAATCCTGAAGATTTCATTTGGTCTGAGCCGCCACCGTTATGTGAAATGAATGCCAATAGAGATAAACTAGTGAATGAGATGAAGGATTTAAATCCAGTATAACTATTTCAATTTTTCTTTGATGATACGGTTTTGCGGCATATTGTCGATCAGTCCATGTTATATGCATCTCAAAATACTCGACACCAAAGAAGAAATGAAATCCTTCATAGATTCGGACATTTTCCTGCGAAGCTAGAGAAGCAATTACAATGTACAGAAGCCATTCAAGGGTTCGGCAACAGTATGTATTGAACGTGCCTGCTTTAAGTTACATCATACAAAATAAACGGTTTCGCCCATGAGTACAGATATTTCTTTAGTAAAAATAATAAAATATATATGGTTTTATGATCTTCAGTTTTTATTTTAGTCCTAATAACCTACCTTATATGCATAATATCTGTTTTCCATGTTCAAGTTTAATTTGGGCGTTAATGGGTACATACCAATTTCAAAAAGAAGCCAACGGATAGCCCACCCCTTATTATCAGGAATTATAACACATTGCATGGGGGAACGGTAGCATCCTACCGCACGGAAGTCACACTCGTGTCCATAGCCAAGAGAACGGTGGCTTCCTGTCGCACGGAAATGACGCACGATAAAGGAAATACCTCACACGGCGAAACGGTAGCTGTCTACCGCATGGAAGTCACGCCCGTGTTAATGAACAGGGGAACGGCAGCTTCATACCGCATGAAAGTCACACCCGATAGGATACCTTAATAATCTGGTGCTTGGAAAGATATGCCAAGTTTTTGCTTGTTACGAAAAGCAGTCCACAAACCAGGATATCATCAGAAGCTCCGACAATACCTCTGATTCAGACTCAGATGTCTCATAACAACCTCTAGGATCTGGTGGCGTCAAACCTCTGTAGAAGTTTGACTTTTAAATTACGTCTTTCATCTTAACTGTTGACAGACATCTGACTGTTTTGACCAATGACAATTATTATCGTGATTATAAGGGTACCATGGTTAGAAAATATACAAGACTTGCAGTACCGTAAGGCAATAAGAGATACCCAGTGAAAACTCTCACCATTTGATTGATCGAATCCTGCCGTGAACTTGATATGGGCACTATTCACAAAATCACAACACAGACCCTTCGACCTTTCAACTGTTACAACAATATTTGAATGATCTAACAGGCACGACCGCCCATATAGCAAAATCCAGGGGGGGGGTCATGTTAGGCTTACAGGTTGTGCAGGATCAAAAATGCTGAGAAGTAGCCAACCAGTTGGTGACAATTGAAGACGGGGGGAGGGGAGTGGGTTAGGTGCAATAATATCTTATATGTTGGGATGTGTCACTTCTTACCCAAGGATTTAAGAGTATAGTCAACACCAAACAAAGTGGCGTGCACGTCATCACGATAAAAATTCCCCGACCTAATGCCTAGGTTTCTATCACAAACAATTGCTCTACTGCAGTTTCATATTAATGTGATATATAAATTGTAAAATGGTCATTACTCTCTTATTATGGTTAATAGTCATATAAACATTGTTATTAAAATATCACATAAGTTGCTTTCTGATAAATTTAGACGCATTATGCGAAATAAAATGTTTTGCAAACGCTCCAATCACTTATCGACATGTAAACGCACTAAACCGATTTCGCAGCGTTGACACATTGTTACCTTGAAACTTATTTAAACTGGGAACTGACATTTGTATTAATTTTGACACTGAATCAATTTGTGGCATTTCAAATCTTTATAAATCCTTTGGCCCCGCATACTGTAAATCAACAACTGTTTGTTTCAAAACAAAATTATTCATTTTACGAGTAGATAAAGGCAATTTTGGTATATAAAGATGCCCAAACAGTTAAATAGTCGGTGTAAGGAACTCGTGGCCTCGTTAATGCACTACTTTGAGCAAGAAAGGGACAACAACGGGCCTTTGTTGCCTTTAAATGCTGTTCAAGAGGTAGGTTACTAATAATTATATGTAATGTATATTAATTATAGTGAAATTTTATTTCATTTTTTGTAGCGTGTTGCTGCTGCTTTAAAAATTAGTTTAAGGACAGTTAGTCGTATTTCCGAGGGTGTGAAAAGTGATGCAAATTTAGAATCGCCCAAGAAAAAGCGGAGTTATATTAAACGTGTAACCAACACAGCGACATTGGATACAAGTGCCATTCGAGAAGTGATCTATAATATGTATCACAAAAGTAAGATCTTATTATAATAACTTATCAGAAATTTGCATTAATTTGTTAACTAAATTATAATGTCATATTACACATGGTTTCAGAAGAACAAGTTACGATACAAACTTTATGGTCTCGATTAAGAGATAGGGCATTATTTGATGGTAGTGCCACGTCTTTAAGACGGTTGCTTAGAGATCTTGGATTTAAGTGGCTTAAGGACAATCCGCGACGAGGGCTCATGGAACTACCAAGTATAGCTTTGAAAAGGGTGGAATTTCTAAGGCAATACAATCAAGCCAAGGTTGAGGCCTTATACCAGTTTGTCTTCCTCGATGAAACTTGGATATTTCAAAATGGGACCATAGGTCGCTCTTGGCAAAATGGAAACCAAAAAAGCGTGACAGCTATTAAAACAGATGGTAAAAGGTATGTACTTTTACACAATTTGCACTATAAAATTTAAAACTAATATATTTTAGATACATTATATTACATGCTGGAAATGAAAATGGGTTTATTGAGGGTAGTGAAGCAATATTTTCTTCGAAAACAAAATTGAGCGATTACCATGGAGAGATGAACCAGGACAATTTTTGAAATGGTTTCAACATCAGTTATTAGAAAAATTGGAGAGTCCATCTATGATTATACTGGATAACGCCCCTTATCACAGCATGATATTGAACAGTGCCCAACAATGCATGGACAAAAAAAAATATCCAAGACTGGTTGACAAATCAAAACATACCATTTTTAAACACAATGTTTAAAACAGAGCTATTGAGTATTGTTGCTCGGTACATAATGCTTCTTAATTATATATATTTTGGTCGACAGTTTATATTTCTTTTGTTTATTCCTATTCTTAAAATAACTGCTTTTTTAGAAACAAACCACCTAAAATATACGTGATTGATGAATTGGCGGAACAACATGGGCACAAAGTTCTTCGTCTGCCTCCTTACCATTGTATATTTAACCCTATTGAGTTAATTTGGGGCATAGCAAAAGGTTACTATAACAGACATATTGGCAGAGATGGTAACAGTGAAAAAGACTGTTTGGATATGTGGAACGAGGATCTACAAACGGTTACCCCAGACATGTGGAAAAATAGTGTTCGACATACTGAGCAAGAAATTTTTAAATGGTATGAAAGAGAACGAATTTTTGATCGACCAGACATCGAACCTTTAATAATCAACTTTGAGAGTGATGAAGATTCAGATTCAGACAGCGCTGAAGAAAGAAACTCCGACTAACTTTATTGTACAGAAAAAGCTTACACCAGTAGCTTACCTAATTTTAGAATGCATTTTTCTGTATGAATTCTGTAAAATAAATACCATGCATAAAATTTGGAGGACCCCATTTGGATTTTTATTCAGTACCTTTAAGCTATCAATTAAATATGGTAGTTTCATAGTGTCATCTGATCAATAATTGTCATACTTAATGATTATGCAAGTACAGATCTATAATTTTATTATACTATTATTTTTGTTCTCATTTGAGGTTAATATTGCTTATAAACCTAGATATGTAAATAATAAATTTTATTATTTTACAAAAAGTTTGGCAACAATGTAAATTTTTCAACACACCCACCTTGATGACGTGCACGCCACTTTGTTTGGCGTTGACTATATAAGAATATTTCAATTTAAGAATATTTCACTTTGAAGCAGATTCCTGCGGGGGCATATGCCCTCCTTGCCCCCCCAATGGGTTATATCTTTTACGAAACACCAAAATACAAGACTTGTTTGATCTTCGTTATTACTGAACCTTGGTAGACATCAGTAATCTCAATTTGAATATGAAAATGGTGTAGTTAAAAGTAAAACTGCTCCCTATATATATTACAATACTCACAATAACTCTGATTTTAACTTGCTAGCGACAAAGGCGCTTGATTGGACCAGGAAAGAAAGTGGTTTTTAAAACAAACGTTGCGCCTAAGCCTAAACTGAGTGGGCTGGTCGTATACATGTCCGTTTCCAGCAACATTAACAAGCACCTACAGATAAAACAGAAAGAAATAAACAATTATTCAGTTGCTATGCAACTCTGGTACTTTACCTCGTTTGCGTACAGTAAATTCACCGGAGTCGAATAAATTGTAATCCTTTCTTAATTGGGTGAATGCTATTTATTGGATTTTTATACAGGGCGTACACATAATTGACAATCACCAATTGAAATGTTTGATTTATATTTACGAGTATTGATTTATGGTGTTTATAAGCAGCCGCGTCGTTTGCTGAGCCGCAACGTTTCGCAATGGAAGTGTTCCATGATAACCATAGGCGTCCGTAATGGGGCAATTCATCGAACTACGGGGTGTAAACGTTATGGTAGTCATTATTGAAATAGGTAATAAGGAGGGTCAAAACAGGTCAAAAAGTTCATATGATCCATGGTCCAGAAGTCAATAGATTTTTGACTAAATGGCTTTATAGTTTACAACATTAAGTGCTTTATATGGACCATAATCTTACTAATTTTCATAATCTAATATAAAACGTTTTTAAATTGGGTAATTAACAAATAAATCGCATTAAGTTTTCCTAGTTAAGTGAAAATTTGTAGTCAGTAAGTGAGTTTCATTAAACTTAATATTTAAAACACACATGGCAACGGCGCGTCGGTATTTTATCACTCTTATCAAACCGGCAATCGATCGCAAACGGTAACAGTGGGTAGTTATCGTTTCGCATAGATAAATTACTTTATCGAGCAGAATATCGGGCGTGTTGTTTTGTTTTCGTTCG